TCCTCCCCCTCCTCCTTCTTCTTTTTCTTCTGCTCCTTTTCCTCCTCCTCCTGCTCCTCCTCCTCTCTTCTTCTTTTTCTTCGCATCACACTTGAAGACAGGTGTCTATTATATTCTGGTCGGTCCTGCTCACTGCTCAGGCCCCTCTGTTAGCCCCCTCAGCTTTTCTGGTAGTGTTAATTGGGGGTGTTCTGCTGTAATCTAAGATAAAGAGACTGCAGTAGTGAGGTTACTTACTTGCCCTTCAGAATCCAACTAATGAACTCTTGCTGGGTGTTGTAGTTCTGAGGAAGGGTGATCATGGTGAAATGGTATAAATTTAACGCCCCTATCAACACTATAAAGCGGGACCTCCGAGTTTAACGTCCATCTCCGATCGAAAGGACCGAGCCAAATGAAAATTCGTGTAAAGATCTTTTCTCAAAGTAACAATGTCGGACTGAGCTCAAACCCCCGGACCCGCAATCTCACGGTGACAGGTCTGGCAGCCTAACCACTAGGCAACCAGACAGGATGATCCATTAGTATAGTTCACTTTATGATGGACTATGATGGGTAAGACTCTGGTTTGAATCTTCACTGCAGCGTTCTTGAACATGCAGTGTATGGAAGGTTTTCAAGACTTGTCTGCCCACTTTGCTTGATCCAGTGAGAAATGGATATATTATATGGAATCCGGAGGTGTGGCCTCTTTACTAACCTTCCAATGATAAATGGTGACAAAACTATAATAACTCTATCATAAACCTTACTTCACTGGACCCACTTGGCGAAGTCTCATGTCTTGATAGTACCAAAACTAATCTGATTAATCTTATCACCGTGACCTTCATCTTTAAGATATTGCACCTTTCCTTGTGGCCCCAAACCCTCCTTTGTATATAAACAGTAGATAGATAAGGACTAGCTAAATCCTTGAATTAATGCTTGATTCAACGCCTAAAAGTCTTTGATCAGTCCGATCCAAACATGAAATCTGGATGTTCTTGTTTCCAAAACTGGACCTCAAAGGCCTGTACCTGCGGATTGTGCAGTATTACTTTTGAAATTTTCAAGACTCTCCATCCACTTTGCTGGATCCCATTGAAGATGGATTTGATCAATTTGGAGGTTTGGCCTCTTTAATAGTGTTTCAATGATGATGCTAAAGCCATACCAAACCGAGCCACAGGCATTATCTTAACCCCCCCCCCCCCCCCCCCCCCC